AACTGAAGCATGTGTGCACCACGATACATGTATAAGAATGCTTATATCCGCATCATTTGCAGTAGCAAAAATCTTGAAATACAAATGTCAATCAAGAGTAAAATGGATGAGTACATTAAGATAATTTAATACATAGCTATTAAAATTAATGAACTACATTTACAAGGAACATGGATAAATCTAAAAAACAGAAGTCACAGCCATGCACAAAACAATGCATATTATATGATTTCACTTTACACTACAGTCAAAATAGGTAACACTAAACCACATTGTGTAGTGAGGCATAATTTAAAACTTTAAACTCTAAAGCAAAGCAAATGAAAAAATTACCATAAAAACAGATAATAATTCTAGGCAGGACGGATGGAGGCAATAACTATCAGGAAGGTAATGGAGGCAGGGCTCCAGAGGGCCATTTCTTGATCTGGATGTTACCTACATGGATTTTTACTTTACAATAATTGCTAAACTGCACATATTTTATGTACTTCCCTGAGTATGTATTACATTAGACAATTAAAAATGATTAGCAATTTAAAAATTAACTGGGAAAGAAGGCAGAAACAGAAGCAGAGAGACTAGTTAGAAGGATTCTGCAATAATCCAGGCAGTTGCTTGAACCAAAATGGTAGCAGTGTAAGTAGAAAGAAGTATATAGCAATTTGATTATATTTTACGTTATATCCTGAAGCAGAGCAAGTATGATTTCTGATTGATTGAATTTGGGATGTGACAGAAAAAGCTGAGTCAAAATAGTGTCAATGTTTTTGACCTGAGCCACTGGACTTGCCATTTATTGAGATGGGGAAGACTGTAAGAGAGGCTTGGTAGAGATCAAAACTTATCAAGTTTAAGATATCCATTAAAGTCCAAATGGAAATGTTGATAGGCAGTTGAATGTATAATCCTGGAGTTTAGGAGTGCTCCAACCTGAAGAAATAGATTTGAGAGTTGTCTATACAGATAGATATTTAAACTCTTGAGACCAGGGAAATGAAAGAAGAGCTAGAAGAGGAAAACCAAGAGAGTCTGGTGCGCTGATGTCTCAGAGAGGAAGGAGTGATCAGCCAGCTCAAATGCTGCTGAAAGGGCAAGCAAGATAAGGACTGAGAAATGTCAACTGGATTTAGTGATACAGGAATCAGGGTCACTGATTCAAAAAACTGACATCATCGGTGACCCTAACAGAACAATACCCTTCTCTTCATAAACTATATGTCCAAGTATATTTAGATCTATTTCTCAATTCCGTTCTGTTCCCTTGGTCTTTCTATTTATTTATAAGTCGATTAAACAATTTTAGTTATTTTAGCTTCATAATATATTTTATCACCCGGTGAGGCTAACCCTTCATTACACTTCTTTCATGGAATATTTATCCTTACGCACTGCTTTCCTTACCTTGTCTAGTCCTTTAAAAAAGAAACTGCTGGCATTTTTATTGCACTCTCATTAAACACGTGGAATATTTAAGATGTAAAACAGTTAAGACGTGATTAGTGGCAGAGGACAAGAAAGAGGCGGTGGCACCAGGATGCAGATATTAACTAAAGTTCTGCAAGTGGAGGACGGGATTAACTGGGATGAAAGCAGAATTAAAAGAAAGCATACAAACATCGACATACAGAAATCTGTTGCATTTCTGTACACTAACAACAAAATATCTGAAAAAGAAATAAAGAACACCAATCCACTCACAATAGCAGATATAATAAAATACTCAGAAATAAATTTAACCAAGGAGGTGAATTTGTACACTGAAAACTATAAGATTTTAATGAAAGGCACTGAAGAAGACAAAAATAAATGGGAAGAGATCCCATCTTCACGATCAGAAGAATTAATCTTGTTTAAATGTCCATACTACCCAAAGCCATCTACAGAGTCAATGCAATTACTACCAAAATTCCAACGGCATTTTTGACAGAAATAGAAAAAACAACCTAACACTGGTATGAAATCACAAAAGACCCCAAGTAGCCAAAGCAATCTTGACAAAGAAGAACAAAGCTGGACGCATTATACTTTCTGATTTCAAACTATATTACAAAGCTATAGTAATCAAAACAGTACGGTACCGGCATAAAAATAGACACACAGACCAAGGGAACAGAATCAAGAGCCCAGAAATAAACCCTTGCATATACAGTCAACTATATTTGACAAGGGGGCCAACAATACTCAATGGGAAAAAGACAGCCTCTTCAATAGTGTTCGGAAAACTGGATAACCACACGCAGAAGAAAGAAACTGACTTGAAATGGATTCAAGACTTAAAGACCTGAAACCATAAAACTAGAAGAAAATATAAGGGAAAAGACAGTGTCTTGGCAACAATATTATGGATATGACATCAAAAGCACAAGAAACAAAAGCAAAAATAAACAAGTGGGACTACATCAAACTAAAAAGCTTCTGCACAGCAATCTGATTTAAAAAAATGGGCAGAGGAACTGAACGGACATTTTTCCAAAGAAGACATACAAATGTCTAACAGGTACAGGAAAAGGTACTCAACATCACTAATCATCAGAGAAATGCAAAGCAAAACCACAATAAGGTAACACTTCACACCTATTAGAATGGCTATTATCAAAAAGATAAGAAATAAGTGTTAGTGAGGATGTACAGAAAAGGGTACCCTTGTGCACTGTTGGTAGGAATGTAAATTGATATGGCCACTATGGAAAACGGTATGGAGATTCCTCAAAAAATTAGAAACAGAACTACTATATGATCCAGCAATCCCACTTCTGTGTATATATCCAAAGGAAATGAAATCAGGACTTTGAAGAGATATCTGAACTCCCATGATCATTGCAGCTTTATTCACAATAGCCAAGATATGAAAACAATGTAAGTGTCCATCAATGGATGAATGGATAAAGAAAATGTGATATACATACATACACAATGAAATATTATTCCATTGGAAATCCATATCCATATGGATAAAGAAAATGTGACACACAAATACACACACACAATGGACTATATTATTCAGCTATGAGAAAGAAGGAAATCTTGCCATTTGCGACAACACAGATAGACCTTGAGGGCATTAGGCTAAGTGAAATAAGTCAAAGAAAGATAATACTGTATGATCTCATTTATACATAGAATCTAAAAAAGCTGAACTCATAGAAATAGACAGCAGAATGGTGGTTACCAGGGGCTGAGGGTTGGGGAAAGGGGGAGATGTTGGTCAAAGGGTACAAACTTCCAGAATAAGTTCTGGAGATATAACATACAACATGGTGATAACAGTTAACAATACTGTACTACATATTTGAAAGTTGCTAAGAGTAGATCTTAAATGTTCTCACCACAAAAAAGTAATGGTAATTATATGACATGATGGAGGTGTTAGCTAACTAAGGCTATGGTGGTAACCATTTTACAATATAAGTGTACAAATTTTATATGTCAATTATATCTCAACAGAGCTGGAAAATAAAAAAGAAGAGAGAAAGCAGTTTAGAACAAACTAGATTAGCAACTAGAGCGAGCAGAATAGGGTGCAATGGCAATGGAAACCAAGAAGGTAAGGTCAGAGATGTGAGAGGAAATGCCAGAAATGCCAGAGTGTGGCATCATGGAAGCCAAGAAAAAAAAAACGTTGCTGAAAGATTGAGGAAAATGAGAGTTAAAGAGCATTCACACTGATACAGAAGTCACTGATGACCTTAGAAAAACAGGTTTAGTGGACTGAGGGGACAGAGCTAAATTGAAATGTGTTAATGAGAGAATGGGAAGATAGAAATAGGGCAACAGCCACAGGGAGATGCAGACTAGGGGAGGCATTTTTTGTTTTGAAGACAGGAAAGACCTGAACATGGTTAAGTTCTGTTGAGAAGATCCAGTACCAAGGCAGAGACTGAAGATAGTATATAAAAGAGAACTGACAGCACAAGGCTACTGAAAAGGTGCAGCGAGTTATACTTAGCAATGTGCATGTATATAAGGAGAAGGGCAAAGTATGGCCTTAGCCAGCCTTAGCCAGAGGAGTTGATCCCACACCTCCAATCCTACCAGGCAGGAAGGAGAAGAGGACTGGGGGAGCACCAGGTAGGTACGGTATATATAGATTTAGTGGGCAAAGTTCAGGGAATTCTGCTTTGTTCAGGAAGTAAGAGATGTGGTCATCTTAATTTTTAAAACCCACCCCTGTTGTTGAACATTTAGGTTGCTTTCATTCTCTCACTAAGAACAAAACACTTGGGTCAAAGGGTAAGCATTTTTCTAAATTTTTTAATTCCTATTGCCAAACTACCCCATAAAAAAGTGTTTCCTATTTACACTCCCTCCAGCACTGTTCCCCTCACATTGGATGACCATTTCCCCCACCCCCAATCTTTCTGCTTGGCATTTATTGTTCATCATTGTTAAAAATATTTTAAGAGGAAAAGACTGATTTTTTTAAAAAAGTATCAGATTAGGAGTAATTACTCATGTATAAATTCAAGTAGGCTTCATTTAAAAATCATTTTAAAATATCATTCCATCAAAATCATGTAATAAAGATAGGTACCTCTCAAAATGAAGTTGGAGATCAGATTTATCCATTATCATTACAGACGAAACTTAATAAAATAGCACACAGCTGAAGAAATAAAGGTAGAACATAAGAAACAATTTCCCGATAAAACAGATCACAGAAAAGCCTTCCATCAGCAACATTTTGAATAGGATTCAGTAAACAATCATCTGTCTGGGCACAGGACAGGATACTTTATTACTTGAAAACCATTTGCAATTCAGATCAACAAGCAAAATCACCCACCAATAAAGCATGTAAGCACACTCTGCCACTGAACCCCCAACAAGCTACAGATTTTGTGCCAGAACCTTCTCTCCACTAAGACCTTATCATCATTATGCTGAAAGCCAATGAGAACACAGATAAGAACCCAGATCTGGGTCAGTTATTATTTTTATTGCAGGTGAAGTACTGCCCAACTCTCAAAGGGCAGGAGAAACAGGCCCTTCTTTCTTACCTTTACCATGAACGTGAAGTCTGTTAGGGCTGGGGAGTAGACAGCCCCACCAGCACAAGGCCCCATGATCAGAGAAATCTGAGGGATGACCCCGGATGCCACGACATTCCTCTGCCAAAAGAGAAAGGCAAACACATCTGGTTACAGAGGTGTTCAAGGCATTATCTGCAGAAAAATAAAGGCAACAATAAAATTACACTTGGCTTTTAGTCACAGAAATTCTATCCTGGAGGCAAGAGACCGAATCAGTAAATTCCAGAATTTATACACAATTTATTGCCATAACTTGTGAGATGGCTGGCATATTACTTTCTGGGGCTTATACCTTCTCCCCTCCTTGTCAGTAGTTACCCAAAACCTCCAACAAGACATGAGCTCAGAGAGAATTCCACCATTCTTACCCCAGCTCCAAACACACCTCAGGCCCAGCACCCCTGTCTGCATAAAGCTGGTTAAAAAAAGGAACAAAAACCTTAGAGTATACAGGCTCCACTTATCCTGGAGCCCCTTCACGCTGTTCACAGAGGGTACCCAGCAGTTACAAGGCAAGGCTAAGAGACAGGTGCTATTCTACCCTGAGTCTTCAACGTCTGCCGCCTGAGACAGGGCATATGGGAAAGAGGGAGGTAGCATGAGCCAGAAAGGCTCCATAGGGACAAAGATGTTGTGACGGGCCAAGCCTCAGGCCATCTCCTGGGAAAGACAAAATTGGGGGTTGGAAGACTCAGGCAAGATAAGAGCCCAATGACTCCTTGCCCAACCCCCAACTTCCTTCCTTCCCCTGAACACCATCAGCCTAAGAGAAGTATGTCCACTTTTAGCCCTGCCCTTGGCTCTGAGCCCAATTTCTATAAATCATACGACAAATCTCAGGACAGTACAAAAAGACATCTATAGATAGAGGAGTCTGGGAAGACGGCGGAGTAGGAAACACCAGGAATCTTCTCCCCACCTAGACAACAACTACACTGGCATAATCTGTCTAATGTAACTATTTTGGAACTCTGGAGTCTACTGAAGGCTTGCAACTTCCAGGGGAAGATGTGGAGGGTAAATTGTGGTTAATTTTGGTCAATTTCAGCTCTTAGCACAGTAGCAGCTACTCATCCCCCAACCCCAGCCACAAGGGAGGCAGGTGTGCACAAGCAGCTGTGTGCATGGGTTCCCAGAGCCGCTTACACAAAGCCTTTAGGAGCCAGAGTAGGCAAACAGGACCTAGTCCTTCAAATACTGGGGATCTGTACTCTAATTGCCAACTGTGGGTTCTGATCACAGAGGTGCAGTGACAGAGGTGGCAGGCCATTGTTGCTGCACGTCCTTCCATTGTTGCAAGCCCCTCCCGCTCCAGTTCAACATCACTAATCATTAGGGAAATGCAAATTAGAACTAGAATGAGATACCACATCACATGCCTTAGGACGGCTACTATCAAAAAAACAGAAAACAATGAGGCCAGCCCGGTGACGTAGTGGTTGGGTTTGCGTGCTCTGCTTTGGGGGCCCAGGGCTCACGGGTTCAGATCCTCGGCATGGACCTACACACTACTCACCAAGCCATGCTCTGGAGGCATCCCACATACAAAATAGAGGAAGATTGGCAAAGATGTCAGCTCAGGGCCAATCTTCCTCACAAAAAAAAAACAGAAAACAAGGTGATAATGTGGAGAAACTGGAACCCTTGTGCACTGTTGGTGGCAATGTAAAATGGTATAGCCACTGTGGAAAACAGTGAAGTTCTTCAAAAAATTAAAAGTAGAATTATATGATTCAGAAATTCTACTCCTGGGGATACACCCAAAAGAATGGAAAGCAGTGTCTCAAAAGGATATTTGTACATTCACGTTCATAGCAGCGTTATTCATAAAAGCTAAAATGTGGAAGCAATGCAAATGCCTGTCAATAGACGAAGGGATAAACAAAATGTACTATGTACATACATGAATATCATTCAGCCTTAAAAAGGAAGGAAATCCTGTCACATGCTGCAACATACATAAAGCTTGAAGACATTATGCTAAGTGAAATTAGTCAGTCACAAAAAGACAAATACTGTATGATTCCACTTATATGAGGTACTTAGTCAAAATCATAGACATAAAGTAGAACGGTGGTTGCCAAGGGCTGGGGGTAAGGGATAATGCAGAGTAATTGTTTAAAGGGCATAGAGTTTCAGTTTTGCAAGATGAAAAGAGTTATGCAGATGGATAGTGGTGATGAATGCACAACATTATGAATGTACTTAACACCACTGAACTGTACATTTAAAAATAGTTAAGTTGGTAAATTTTATATTATATGTCTTTAACCACAATACAACAAAGTTGAAAAAGAAGTTGTCCATATTCTGCAAAAAATATCAAGATGGGTGGGTGGACTCCCAACTATGCCAGAGTGAAGAGTTCAGAAAACACTCTCCTCAAAATACAACTATAAAACTGGACAAAATTGTCAAAAACAAACATTTCAGGGCTCTGAAATCAGACCAAACATTAACAAATTGAGAACTGTTTATTAACGAAATGCTCAACTTGAGATAAGAACACTGGGAGTCTGTGGCATTCTTAACTAAGGCTGCTACCACTGCCCACACCAGCTCAGGATGTCCTTCAGGGTGAAAGAAAATAACACCAGACAGTACTTCAAGTCCACAAGAAGCAAGTAAACTAAAAATGGTAAATATGTGATTAAATATACAATACTATTCTTTCTTCTTAATATTGTTCTCTCTTCTTAATACTTTAAAAGACAAAATTGTTATATAAAGCAATAATTCTAACACTTTGTTGTAGGGCTTATAACATAGGCATATAACAATAACGGCACAAAGAAAGGGAGATAAAACAGAGCTATATTGGAGGAAATTTTACATTTTACCAGAATTCAGTATTATTTTGAAGTAGATTATGACCAATTAAGATACATATTGTAACCCTTAGAGCAACCACTAAAAGAAAAACCCTCAAAAAATAGTTTAAAAAAAAGAGAAATTAGAAAAGTACACTAAAAATGTGTTTAACATAAGAGCTGAGCGACGTCATGAAAGATGATGGAATAGGAAGCTCTAAGAATCCATCTCTCTACCAAAACAACTATTGAGCTGGCAGGAACTATCTCAAGCAACTATTTTGGGACTCTGGAGTGCAACACTTGTAGCATCCAGAGGAGAGTCTCATGAAGAGGCAGGTAAATTTCAGTCAATTTCCAAATTTAGCATAGCAGCTACCATCCCATACCCTACAATCCTGTGGCAGGCAGACACAGGGACTGGGCAGCTTGTGTTCCTAGTGTAGCTAGCTGGTGTCAGGGTGGCAATAAGGAAACTGTCCTCCAAAAATCAGGGTTGTGTGTCGTGATTACTGATCATGGCTTTTGATCACTAAGGGGCCAGCACAGAGGCTGGCCATTGTTTCAACCCTGAAAGACTCAAGCAGCTTCTCAGCTGAAATGGAGTTTAAAGAGACAGTTCACCTCTTCTCGGAGCCAGACATTTAAGGAAATCTTTGTCAGATCACTTGTTGACTGCAGAGACAATGGAACTAAAACTTCAATGACAACCTCAAAACATTTTGCAAAAATAGCTTGGAAAAGTCACATAAGGACTCATACAAGCAAAAATCAGCAATCTCTGAAGAGCGGGAGAATTAGATTTCCAACATTACAAACACAGTACTTAGAATTTCCAGTACTCAACAAAAAACTACAAAACATACAAAGAAATAGGCTAGTATGGCCCATTCACAGGAAAAAGAATTTGACAGAAACCATCCTTGAGGAATCCCAGACACTGGACTTGTCAAAGATGTTATACGAACTGTCTTAAATATGTTCATTGAGCTAAAGGAAATCATGGAAAAAGAACTAAAGGAAATGAAGAAAATAATGTCTCAACAAAATGAGAATGCCTGGGCCGGCCCCGTGGCTTAGTGGTTAAGTGTGCGCACTCCGCTTCTGGCGGCCCGGGTTCGGATCCCAGGTGCGCACTGACACGCCGGTTCTCCGGCCATGCTGACATCGCGTCCCAAATACAGCAACTAGAAGGATGTGCAACTATGACATACAACTATGTACTGGGGCTTTGGGGGAAAAATAAATAAATAAATAAAATTATATTAAAAAAAATGAGAATGCCAATAAAGATAGAAATTATAAAAAGAAATCAAGCAGAAATTCTGGAGTTGAAAAGTACAACAACTGAAATAAAAAGCAAACTAGATGGGTTCAACTGCAGACTTCAGCAAGCAGAAGAAAGATTCACAGAACCTGAAAACAATTGAAACTATCCAGTCTGGGGAAAAGCTGAAAAAAATAATGAAGAAAAATGAACAGAGCCTGAGGGACCTATGGGAAAGCATCAGATGTACCAACATACACATTATAGGAATCTCAGAGGAAGAAAGAGAGAAAGAGGTAGATAAAATATTTGAAGAAATAATGGCCATGGGCCGGCCCCGTGGCTTAGCGGTTAAGTGCGTGCGCTC